AAAGGCACGAATGCACCTCGAACCAGTATGATCGAGAGTTTCATACGTCTTCACAGCTTTAGTGCGGTAGCAGTCGAGTCATTTCTACCTCAAGATCCAGGTTCAATAGTTTTAGAGATGCATTCGCGCTTTAGAGCCGTCCCAAATGTGGTTTTTTGTTTTACAAATCACCAGTTGTAATCAAATAGATCGGTTTTAGATTCATCTAGTACAGGTTCAACTCCCACAAATAATTATCACGGGAGACGCCACGGCGGCGATTGATTATCATTTCAGGCAAAGATATCATTTCATAGAAATGAAGTGGTCCCCACAACAAGCCTGTTGGCCTAGAATAGCTGCATTCAACAACGCACAGCTCACAAAGACCGTCTAGCATGCCGTCGAAGCCTCGTGCTCTTCGCGTGGGCAACCTCACTGAAGGAGAAAAAATGCAGCTGTACGACAAGCACAAACGTGAGCCAAAGCTGACCCAGAACCAGTTAGCAGAGTGGTGTCGTGTCAAGTTCAGCCTAGAAAAGGCTCCTGTCCAAGGTACAATATCAAACATTCTGCGACGCTTCAAGAAGTCACCAGCCATGCTAATTGCTCCTGATCGAAAGTCAAATCGAGCAGTCACGAACCCAGAACTAGATGCCGCTCTTGCTCTTTGGGTTAATGATAAGCAGGCGAACAGCGTACCCATTTCTGACGAGCTCATTCAAACCAAGGCAAGGGAGCTGTACGAAGCTTTGAAGGAGCGTGGAGTGACAGGCAAGGAGATTTCGTTTTCAGCTTGTTGGCTTAGTGCTTTTAAAGCACGGCATGACTTTAAACGCATTCGTCTCCATGGGGAAGCAGCAAGCGTAGATAGTGAAGCTGCCGTCAGCTTTCTGGCTCGCATACAGCCTAAGTTGGATAGCTACGCTGCTGCCGAGATTTTTAACTTCAATGAAACGGGGCTTTTTATCGCCGCGCGCCTACAACTACAATTGGAAAAGGGCATGCTTCGCTTCGAGGGAGCAAGCACGACAAGACTAGGATCACTATTGGCTTAGCTGTCAATATGGAAGGCACCTGCCAGCTCAAACCGTTGTTCATTGGGCATGCTAAAAAGCCCCGTGCTTTCAAGAAAAAGACCCCTCTTGAGCAAGGTTTCACGCACTACTACTCGAACAAAAAGGCGTGGATGACAACCGTGATTTTCCGTGATTGGTTGGAACGAATGAACGCTCAGATGCTACGCAACGACAAAAAAATCATCCTTTTGATTGATAATGCTTCGTCACACGTGAATGTGGAGCTCTCTCATGTCGAAATTGTATTCCTTCCAGCCAATGCTACGGCCATACTTCAGCCTTTGGACGGAGGCATAATTGGATGCTTCAAAGCCCACTACAGACGTTTACAGCTTATACATGCTGTAGCTGCAGCTGACAGAAACGAGAAGGACTGGTTCAAAGTAGACGTTTTGACTGCGATGCGATGGGTAAAACTAGCCTGGAATGAAGTGTCGTGCGATACAATTGTCAACTGTTGGAGGAGGTGTGGATATTCTTGTGATTACGCGTCATCAACAAGAGTTTATCCTCTAGGAGTTCGGCGTTCAATGGAAGCCTCTCTGGCTGATATTGTCCAGGCCGTTGAGGTTTTGCAGCTTTCAAGCTGCTCATCCGTTGATGATATCCTGAATCCGCCAGGTGAAAATGAAGTGCATTTTGCCTACAGTGACTCTGAAGTTGTAGTCATAGTGATTGGCGTGGATGGTGATGATAGCATCGAGGATGACGACGAAGAAGGGCAGCATGAAATCCCTGATGACGCTGAATTCGCTGCTGCGATGGATGTCGTTCTCCGCAAGTTGATGGCTGAGAGCGATTCCACAGAAGCGCTATGCATCACTAGAAACTATTTGAACAGGAGCTTGTTCGAGTACAACAAGAACAAGCTTGTGCGCAAGAGGCAGCAACTCATTACCTCGCACTTTAAGCCAATTTGAAATTATCATCGAGGTAGCCGATCTCTATTAAATATCAGCTAAGACAGATAATATTAAGGCCAATACAAATTCCAATATAAGCAAAACGGGAGATCGTGAAATGGCAAATTTTGATCATTTATCACGCCATATTAGATGATAGAGCATCAATTATGGGGGTTGCACCTGTATTCACACAAACGGCCCTTCACTTTGATTATTTTAGCGTCACAATTATATGCAATATCGATATAAAAATGCAATCATACTGAACCTGGTATGCTAAGAATTTAGGATCCCAACTAATGCCAAGACACTCGAAGATGCAAATACGCTGAGCAAACGTACAAAGAAACCTGCGACGGGTCGTGTGTACGGATGCAAATATGATTAAAAAAAGTTAAAATTAAAATCATTTGCTGGCTGCCAAAGCTCGTTGAATTAAGTGGCAAGAACTTCACTATTCTTCGATAGTAAAATATCGTCACACTCGTGGGTCTTGTCCGTAGTGATGCCAAAATGTGTTTCGTCCTGGTTGAAAGTAGCATTTTCGTCCAATTTACCATTTTCTAACGCTCGTTTGAGCTTTCCCAGGTGTGCTGCCACAATGTGCTCTTATATCTTTCATTCTCAAAGCTGCATTCTAGCTTGCCACTCTGACACCACATCCAGCACCTGTTTGAGTACGCAAGTCGGCTTGGTTGAAGCGTTTTAAGTTAATGTGCCTAGTTGAAGTAATTAGTGTGGGTTTGCCGATGAAGGTCGGAAGGCAGAAATAGTGTGGGCTATACTATTTACGCACCCACACTAATGATCCACCTACAATAAATACGCTTTTTGCTGTAGCGGCCAACACCACCGGGAAAAAAGCTGATATTTGGTATACCGAGCTGTATATGGCGTATACAAGTGGACCGATATACTCGACGTACTCGACCAGGACGAGGTATTCGCTGTGCAAAAAGAGCTGCAGGCTTTGGACGATCAGCTGCTTAATTCATATTGGAATTCAGAGAGGTGCGAGCAAACGCGATAGTTGTGGTAAGTCCTTATCAAGAGCGAGGGGTGCCGCACGATTAGGACAGAATGAAATGTCGTCATCCCGAACGACCAGGTTGTTGACGATGAGTGTGGCTGTGACGATGAATCCAACTGCGTTCAGTATCTGATCGCTGTCAAGTACGGCATGTTTACACCATCCGATTACGGATGACCAATCGAAAACTATAAGCGACATGTATTGATCAGTAAGATCACTCATTTTCGTATTCGACACAAGATACGAGCGTCAAGCGCGTCACTGGCACTGAAGCCTGTGACAATACGTTCAACTGACAACACAAAAATCGAGTGTGAGCGCGTGCAATGGTCCAAGTGCGAGGTCAACAATGATGAGCGCTGCAGTGAGATACAGAGAACTTGAAGTGGAAATACACACTGTAGCGAAGAGAGAGCTAACAAAATACGCCGACATCGCGTTGCAATTATCGTAATTTTCCCGACTTGCACAATGATAACCGCTCACCCGTGATAGTTCACTGGCAAGAGATCGTACAGACTTACACAGTTCACGCTATTAATTATTATGACCCCATCCCAAAGCGACATCAACGATGCTGAGCGACCGGCGGTCTTGTACGTCAAGACGAGTTTCGTCATATACCATTGTTTCTGCTCCAAACAACATATTTTTTAAGCAAAAATGTGTTCTTGTAGCCAACATAACAAACCCGTAGCCAATACAGATCTGCTTACCAAATTTCAAAGCGTGTGACGACGTAAGTAGACGTCTACGATGGGGTTGAAATATGCTGACGAAGTAGCAGCGCCTCTCCAGGCCTCACCATAACGTCGCGAGAGGTGGCGTCAATTCACGCTACACCGGACCCAGTCACTCGTACTTCAAGGTAAAAAATAAAAGTGAATTATAATAAGTCTTTTTGTCATATTTAGGTGATGTCACAGGGCCACACTATTTGTTCAGTGACACTTTAGTGTGGCCCTCACTAATTCCACAAGGACATAATAAGTGTGGGTACCGTACCCCACACTAATACTTCATCTCCCTCGGTGCGTAAATACCGGGGGCACACTATATACACTTTTTGCTGTGTGCGATTGGCTTTCGATTTTGGGCCCTTCTGCAGTATCAACTTGAGCACTTAGGTACGTTCTACTTGCAGTGGTTTCTCTGCCGAAATTGTAACTTATTGGCAACTTGCTCTGGTACTAGCTCTCCAGCAACTCAAAAGTTGAGCCTTTTTTTCGTATAAAATAGCCCTTGATTAAATGCAAAGTTTCAGTTTCCCAGTTATTCCTGTATTTTTTTATTTGTGTTCGTAGGTAGCGTGGGTTACTATACGCTTGCCGTGTAATTTGTCGCGATGATTAGCAACTGCTTCAGTGCGCGAGTGGCCCCAGCAACACCAGAAGTCAGTCTTGAAGATCGGTGGAATCGGATACAAGTGGGTCATCAGGGCTCGTACTCAATCGAACGAGTCGAAAGTCTTCAGCACTACTGCAAGACTACGTCCAGAACCCGAGTCATCCTCGTATGCATCCTCACACCACTGCCAGCATTGTGTTTAGCCTTGTTGCTTGAGTGTATCCCGTTATCTTCTCCGTCAGAAGGGTGGCAAGCCAACTGGGCATTATGGGTCCGCTTGGGTTTGACCGTGTTTTTACTAAACTTTGCTGCTATCAATCAGCTTCATCTGTTTGTACCCGGTCTAAACGTTACCTTTGCGAAGGTTTTGACAGCAACAATTGGGTCTACTGTTTCCTGTTTGGCAGTGATCGTTCTTGCTGCAATCACTATCGGTTTTCCTGTCCCTTTCGGCTATCAATTGGGTGGGACAAGCATGACTATTTTCCTTCCGTTGATAATTAGACTCGTCCTAGGTCCAGAACCTTATCAGAGTGGCTCCCCCCACCGCCCGCATCTACAGCGATTCTATCGACTTACCGTTGTCTACATCATGCTAGTCGCAGGCTTTCCGCTCTTCAAAGTTCTTTATGACCAATTACCGGAGAAATCTCAAATATGTGCAATACTCATCCTGCCCATCTGGAAATTTGGGGCAAAGCATGTGCTTCCCGAGAATTGGAAGATTTTATCCCCGAGATTGTGGCCTTGTCAGCGGATTTTGTCAGCTCACTCTTCGTCGCAGTGTGTATTTCCACGTCCAGTTCGCTGTACCTCGCTGCGGGTTTTATCATCGTAGACGTCGGACAATCCATGTTGGAGTTCAGAGAGGTGCAAGATAACGCGAATGTTCTGTTAAGTCTTCATCAAGAACGTCGACAGTCGAAGGAATATCTCGGCATCAAGAATCCAATTAAAGCAAGCGAAAGCGACAGTTTGTTAACGACAATGCTAGCTGTGACTCGGAATCCTAGCTCCTACAACATCCGATCTCTGTCGAGTGCGCGGTTGAGAGCATGCTTGCCCCATCCCATTACCCAGGACCAAGAGAAAGCTCTGAATCACCTCGAAGATTCAGGCGTGTATACATCCAACACATCAAGAAGATCGCCTTCGGAACGAAAGATACGTGTGTCGAGCGCGATTACTGTACCGGAGCCTAGCGACATCACGTCTAAAACTGGTAGTGAAAGCTCCGAGCGGGAGCAAAAGTCGAAGCAGCTGGTCGTCCAAAGTCTGCAGCTTCTGTTTCACTGCGAATACCTCGTCCTAGTCGAATACGTTGAGTGTATCGTTCCACTTGTATACGTCATCTACAAGTCGGTGGCTGAGCAGCTCCCAAATATTTGCTACTTCCCTGGTGGCGCTGGCAATTGGGGAGTATCTGCTGTCGTGAATGTGCTGATCTCCGCGATATTGGAAATTGGGTCACTCGTTATGCTCAACATTGTGCTGCAACGCAAATTTTCGTTCTCGCCGATTTACCAGCTTGCGTTTGTGCTTGAGACACAAATCATGACGGTTCAGACTAAATTACTCATTACGATATTGGTCCTACTGCAGTATCAACTTGAGCACTTGGGTACGTTCTGTTCAGTGACCTTTGCGTCGATAGCACTAACTAATGATGTTTTGCAGGCGTAGACTTCTCCTTTCGCTTCCAATGGCTGCACCAGTAGGTCGAGCTGCGAAATGTACCCATCTGGCCAAAATGTAGCCATTTTATATTTGTGTGCGATTTTTCGATAAAAATGGAGCGTATGGCGGCGCAGATGGAGCGCGATCTGCGCTCCAAGTACAACCATCTCATGGTGAAATGGTACGAGGCCGTGGACTGGACAGAGCCGCTCATTGTGGGGCTGCTCAGCTTCCACGTGGTGCTTTTGGCTACACTCTGGCTTACGCGCAAGCGGCTCTACACTCAGTTCGCGCTCTTCGTGCTCATCATTCTGCTGGTAATGAGCACTGAGGCGCTTAACAAGTGGGCGAGGGAGAACTGGCGTCTATTTGCCACTCAGCGGTACTTCGACGAGCAAGGTGTCTTCATGGGTATCTTCTACGCAGGGCCGCTCTTGGCTTCAGGCTTTTTCCAACTGGTATGTGGTATCCATGATGACAAGTTGGGATGATGGCTACATTCTTGTCTAACGTCGAATTCCTGCTGTTCCTGTAGCTGCTGAGCATGAAGAACATGGTGGACATGGTGGTGATCGTCAAAAGAGCTGAGTATCGACAGCAACTTAAGGCCAAGAAAGACAAGTAGACAATAAATAAAAAGAAAAAACATTACAAAAAAAAGATTGACTTCATGTAGCCACTTTACTACATTGCCGTAGTAGCCGTTTTGGAGTCTAATCCAGCTCCTTCACGGGGTATTCTTTCATCCACAGGTCATGGATGAACTCGTACAGCTCGTTAGACACCGACACCTTGTACGGCGTCGGGTTGAGCGATCTAACCACATCTTCACGGACCAGTTCGAACTGTTCCGTCACGTACTGACGTCGCTCCTCCAGAGTCGGCAACTCGCCCACAATGCCGCCATTGGGTCCGTCCCAGCACAAACTGTGCAACGGAATAACTTGAGACGGCGTCACGTACGCGCGGCGCAGCTCATCGAAGGGATTCCGACACAGCATTTTCTTGCCGATCGCGGGGGCTTTCTCGTTGCATCCAGTCATGAGATCCAGCAGGGGTTTGCCATTTGCACCAATGAGACGGAACGCTTCCTTCCGACCCGGGATCGTCACCTTGCTCACGTCTTGAGACAACTTGATGCGTGGCTCGCCGTTGATCTCCACGAGCTTGTACACCATACCGAGTGCAGGTTGAGCTTGACAGGTCACGAGATGGGTACCGATGCCGTACGAGTTGATCTCGTGACGTTGCTCGTTCAGAGAGTTCAGTACTGGCTCATTGATATCGTTACTAGCTGTAATGTTCAGCTCCTTGAAGTAGTCGATGCCGTAGCTCTCGCCTGCGGTCACAAAGGCTGCCCGACAGCGCTTCGAGAGATACGACAGATCGCCACTGTCAAGACGAATCCCGACCGGCTTGTGACCCAATTCGTGCAGGGCCAGCGCGACACAGATGAAGTTTGGCACTCCCGACTGCATGTAGCCATGTTAGAGAAATGTAGCCATTTGTGAGAGATAAGGTAGAACGTACCGACAACGTGTCGTACGTGTCAACCAGAGCCAAGAAAGCGTCCGGGAACGCAATAGCGTACGAGATGAAAGCTGCAAGCTCGCCCTAGCACCAAAGACAGCGTTAATTTGCCAGAAATCGCCTTTAAAATATCCAATACCCAAGTCTTACATCGTTGGTCTGGGTGTGGCCAAGTTCGGTACGGTATTTCAGCACCACATCGAGGAAGTTCTTGCCGTCCAGCATAGTGACCTTCACATCGTCTAATGAAGTGTGTGCTTGCACAAACGCATGTGCATGTGTACCCATAATGGGGATCTTATGCAACTTCCCAGCCAGCACGTTGCTGGTGCCTGAAAAGCCAGCCATGTACGAGTATCTCGAGGCACTGAGACCGCCGTCCGGTCCCTGCGCACGACGCAATCCGAACTCCAGCAGATTCTTGTCAGGACCCGCCGCCTTCTTGAAGCGCGTGGCGTTGGTGGTGATGAGACTGGCGAAGTTGAGCAGGTTGAGCAATGGCGTCTCCAATAGCTGCCCGACACCCAGACTACCCTCGATACGCACAAGAGGGATGCGTGGGAAGACAATGGAGCCTTCCTTGATGGCATATACCTTTACACTGGAGCAGTCGAGCGTCGAGAGCCACGTAAAAAAGCCTTCCCCGGCGTGGGGTAGCACTTGACGTAGATACTCAATGTCACTGGCGGTAAATTTGAACGTGTTGACCATAGCAAGCGCTTCTTCGAGGCCTGCGAACACTGTATACTCGCCGTGGAATGGGTTCTTACGGAAGAACAAGTCGAACACGGCGTGGTCGTTGTGGCGCCCTACCTTCCAGTACGCGTAGACCCTGACAGAGTGGCGTCAGATAAGTTTTAAAAGTAGGGCAAGACGTAGAACGCGAGACGTACATGGTGATTTGATACAGGTCGGTGAGCATGGGACCCACCAGTGAGTTGGTGGGCTCGAGGACGTCGCCGTTCATCATCGGTGGACGGAGGGAGGGCGGAGGTGGTCGCGGGGAGATATTTTGCCAAGTGCAGATCGTTTACCACGTACGCTGGAAAAAGAACCTACGAACCATCAACCCTTGATACTTATGGACCGAGGAGTCTGTGAAAATGGAACTAATGTGAATAGCTACGGAAACGAACTTGACTTGCAGCATTATTGTTATTTGTTATATCCGTCTTATACCGATATAAGTAGATTGATCAGGTTTATTCGTTTGCCACGCATGTCACATGCAAATGCCCACACAAGAAAGTAGCAAAATGCGAATTTTTGGTGCTAGCCTTTCACTTGCTTTCTTGTTACCGGTATGCAGAGCATTCGTTTAGGTCAAAGAGCTGCATAGAGTGAGATGCAAATAAACCTAAAAAAATAAAAAAATCTTAATCCTTACTCAGAAGTCAGAGCCATTTGTATTTTACGGCAACGAAAAATCTTTTTGAAAAATATTGAAAAACCACATTAGCGGTCAGAATAAAAAAAACATCTTATTCTGCCCGATAAATCTGGGGATTTTTCTGAATGACCGGGTCGAGCGCAATGCATTCATCACTTGCGCCGCTCATTTTGCAAAGTAAAACATCAATCTGCGAGGTGGGAATTGTCAATCAGGAAGAGCAAGCAATGAATGCTTGCGCTTGACTTTCGTTACATTTGTGACGTGGCGTTGACCCCGTTGGTGGCTCATAATCCGTGACAGCTCTGCATAATTAAAACCGAACGTTTGGTCCGATTCTGCAGCTAAGTGTTTGCTCTCAGCTCTCGGGTTGTGAGCCTGGATCCCACAACCATGTTTTTTTCGGCCGCCATTTTACAGAATCTAGTGCTTCATTTATTTTGCTATCTGCGGGGGGGTTGTTGCTGTTACATGCAGCGTTCTAGAATCGCTCGTCCGCGTAGTCACGTTGACAAAAAAGCAAAGCAGGGCGAGAATTCTTAAGTGAGGTAAGATCAATACATACTGTATCCCAGGTCATTGCTTTTTTGTAACTTCACATGTCACTTTTAAGTTATTTTGAAAATAATATGCTGACTTTTGAAGAAACGAGGTGTGAAAAGTCATGGCGCAATCTACAATTTTTAATTCGGACTTTAGTGGATCTTAAACGGACCTTTTGCGGGCTCAAGTTATGTTGGGGTGGGATAAAATAGAGGTTTTTCTAACAGAAGTGACGTCATAGGCGGCTAAAGTACCTTTTAACCCTTTCGCGTCCGCCTTGCGCTGTATAGTATAGTGACCCTCAGTCACGCGCGTCTAAAGGAGCCGAAACGGCACCTTTTGCTTATCCCACCTTGCTGTAGCCATTGTGCAATCGGTCATCGCGCGATTGATCGACTTATCAAAAGGGACTGTTTTAGCTCCTTTTAGAATGCACAGTGATTGGACACTTGTGCATTCCGGTATTATTCAGCCAATCGGGACTGGGCAGATCAGCGTCTAGAAACGTAATTCCGGAAAATAGTGACACGCCTTGACTTGTCACAGAGTGTGACTCACACTGGAAGCGATGATTCGTACTGCAGCAGTGTCGATATGGCCTGGAAAAGCATACATGTACCACGAACATGTATCACGGTACTTGGCAACCATCAAACATTGCAATGATTAACCTGGACCCCCCAGTGCAGCGTACTTGGTCGCACCAGTAGCTACATTCGATCGAGCCGTGCTTATTCCTAATCAGGACGTCTTTCAGTACGACTCGTACTGTAGTACGACGGTGCATCATGATGCAAGATCATTGATAAAGGATGTACCTCAAGTATGCACTTCTCTTCATTTCAGTAAGTATATCCGCTAGCACAGAGATGACGACAAGCGCATGGCCACCGGGAATGCTTCGACCATTGTCAAATATCTTGGTTTCAGTATTGAAATTGCACGTTCAATGGTTGTACAGCCAAATGGTAGATTACCTTTTTCAATTTATAGTATTACGTTTGTATTGTCCAGTTCTCTTCTGGCAATGAATTCTTAAAACTAATACGGTTGGATCTGCTTACTCGGTGCATCATTACTGGATATAACGACAAGTTGCCTCATGGCGAGCGCCCAGCGGTCGACCGCTGGTGGCTCCCATGATGATCATCAAGAACCAGGCCCATTCGCTCGGCTTCTTGCAGAAGCTGTGTGTGATCAAGAAGAAAAGGATGAATCCATACCAGACAGCAGTGTTTTAGCTAGCCGCGGAGAGCAGCAATTGATGCTTGAAAGACGGTCTAGTACGCTACAAGGCACAGATGAAGCTACTGAAAGACGACATTATTGCGGAAGCAAGAATCAGCACCGAGTACATAGTCCCAGAAACCCACAAGATCAATGTAGCTCAATTTACCAAGCTGATCACACTAGCCTGGAAAATCAAGCAAAAAGCAAGACCTCAGAATCTGCCACAGGCAAGAAAAGGCAAAGTCAAGCTGGACAACGAAAATTAACCACTAACGAGCAACCGCGAAAGACACAGCGCAATTTATCCTCAGCTCTTGATGGCACCGCTGCCCATAACGCTGATGATTCCTGATCAAACACAACAGCCGCAGAATCGACGTCCACCTCCATTGATCCAGCTCCGACGGCCCCCAAGAAACGCAAAAAAGCCTCAACGTCGCGGGGACAGCAGCTTTCAGCTGTGATGGCAGGAATTTACGTGAATAAGCTTGTAGCTTTCTCGCCGATAAAGGAGGCGTGGCTTAAATCGAAGAAATTATACAGTGATGCGGGCAGCGCATACATCGTTGGCCGAATTACTCGATTTGACAAGAAAAAAGCTATGCTGGAGATTCAATGGTTGGATATACAATTCCAAAAACAAGATGAATATGTCGGTGTGAGTGTTGTGCAGCGCGGTATTGAAAACTACAGCAATATCATGAAGTCGCCGTCCAAACCGGCGTGGAGGTCACTATGTGAGGAGGATGAAAGCGAGGTTCAAATACAGGAGGACGCTAGCGATATGGAGGAGGTAGATGACGATTATTAACGCTACATACCGGACGTGGAGCTTCCAACGACGATGCATGAAGTGGAGACAATATTCAACATGAAGTTTGATCCCAGAGCTCACATCGATGGTCCTGCCGATCTCTATCAACATGCTGATGGGTCTACAAAAACTAGAATTCGAGCGGAATATCGACATTTATTTGAGCATTCGGCATCGTCTTCGTTTTTCGCCTACATTTCCGTTTACTTTTGGATTGAAGTACTTCATCAATCAAACACAGCTATGCGAAACTATGAGCGTGAAAGGCGACTGAGTCACCGGCCGTTGTTTACGCTGCAGGAGTTGATGACTTTCTTAGGAATACTGTGGTATATGAAGCTCGTAGACAAGGGAGAATATGCGAATTACTGGGGGTCCCAAATTGAAGATCGACTCTTAGGTAGCAGCAGCATTGGCCTTGAGCGTGTAATGCCACTGACAAGGCTCAAGCTGCTGCGAAAGTTATTTTGCTTTCGAGCTACAGGTACCTCGTCCGTAACGCCGTCGACAGCGACAAATTCAGGTGGCAGTGCAGTAGTGCAGACCAACAGCGACGAACCACAGCTTAATGCAACACATGGACCAGTGCCTACTGCGAATGGTGAACCCTGTGAAGACAGTGATGCCACTGCTTCGATTTCTGGAGAACCTATTCCTATTGCAGGTGAACCGCCATTGCCTCGTAAAGCAGACCCGGTTGTTTAAATTCGATCCTTGCTGAACATGTTGAAAATAGCGGGAGGTAAATACGTCGAGTTGGGCAGAGATGTATCGCTCGATGAAGCAAGCGTGGCGTGTCGATCAAAGTTCGGGCGGTACCTAATAATGTTCAATCCCATGAAGCCGGGTGGCAAATATCACTTCAGAATATACATGTTGTGCTGTGCGACTACATGGATTGCAGTGAACTTTCGTGTCCATTGTGATAGCGATATTTCCGATCGACTGGAGGCTGTCATTCCATCAGCTGAAATTCAGGAGCTTCGTGAAGATTTAGAAACTCTCAAAACTGTACGAGGGCAAGTTTTAGAGGTGGTTAGCCCGCTACATTTCTCAAACCGCGTCGTCAACGCCGACAACTATTACATGTCCGCCCAGTTATTAGCAGCACTCAAGGTAAAGGGTCTCTATGGACGTGGTACCGTGCGTGCAAATAGCTTTCACTTCCCGAAGCATGTAGTGCTACAGAAAGCACAGTGTAGTCGGGGAACATACCGTCAGGCCGTTTCAGTAGATCACGAAATGGTTGCAGTATCGTGGTTTGACAGTGCAGTTGTGAAGATGGTGTCAACGCAGACAGCTCTACTGCTTCAGAGCTGACTCGTCGTGTGGGAAGCCGACAGCAGCCGTACACTGCTCCAGCGTGTGTGGCTCAGTATAACACACACATGCAGGGGGTGGACCGCTTAGATCAGTTGAGAGCACGATTCTCTCTCGCAGACGGACATTCATTCAACAAGTGGTACAAGAATTTTGGTATGGCATTAGTTGACGTTGCACGAGTCAATGCATATATGACGAGGAGACAAGTTGTAGACATGAGCAATGCGCGTGACCCCCACCGAGATTTTGTCTCTCAGCTAGCCGAAGAGTTACTCTCAGGAAAATGGATGAATGCTCCTAGTGATCGAAGGATGTTCTACGCTGCTTGTGGAGGTGTTACCCCAGCATCTTGTGGTGATGTGCTGGCCGGGTGGATGTGCGGTGTTGAATCGGTCGACACTGCTAACAGTCCTCAAAAACGATGTGTTGCGGTGTCGTCAAAACAACTATTCCACTACAGCAGGAAGCGACGGCAGTGCGTAGTGTGTCGCTGAAACTGTGCTAACCGACCACTGTACACTTCATAACGTTAGTCTTTGCCAGACTATCAACACCGCAATGTCCAAGTCGTATTACTGCCAACAGCCAGGTCTCACTTGCTGGGAAAAATTCCACACTTTTTATCTTCCGCAACATCTATTCTCGAGCAAAGGGAACATCATGAAAGCTTCTGAGCTGTACAAAATGAAACTAAAGGATCCGCCTCCAAGTTCCCCA